TGTGTAGTTGTACGTTACTCTAATTAGAGAGCAGGGGAAGTTAAAAGAATCTGTGAAACTGCTACAAGAGGTTTTGGAGATACGAGAGAAAATCAACGGCTCCACTCACCAAACAGTATGTATATGTACATGTACTTATACATGTATATGTACATGTTATATGTACATGTACATAAATTTTCCTTTTTCTTGATATTAGGTTGCTTCTACGCTCAATAATTTGTCAGTCTTACACGGTAAACTAGGAGAGCATAGAACAGCCGAAGATTTCTGTCGTCGAGCACTGGAGATACGACAAAAAGTTAGAGACATTAATTAGATGCTATTGCGGTGTTTATATTTATTTATTTATTTGTTTTATATTTGATTCCTCCAGTTGTTAGGTCCCAATCATCCTGATGTGGCACAGCAGCTAATAAACCTAGCAACACTTTGCCAGCACCTTGGGAAATACGAGGAGGCAAGGAACAGATTGCAATACTCTCTTGATAATACATTATTGTACTCGTGCAGGTGGAATGGTACTACCAAAGAGCACTAGAGATATATCACACAGAGTATGGACCAGATGATCCAAGAGTAACAAAAACACTAAATTACCTCGTAAGTATAAAAACAAAAATGATTATTCTCTAGTTTATCCTTCTTCCTATTTCCATTCTGTTTTATCTTTTAGGGTAAGTGCTACATGAAGCAGGGTAAACTGGAAGCAGCTGAGAGTATATTCAAGAAAGTAAGGACATCAGTGCAAGCCCAAGAGAGCAGCATTGGGAGGGACAGTCGGGAGCACTCCTCATCCCCCACTTCAATGCTCGGGCGGATAACCCCACCTCTTCCTGTAAGCTGTCCTCTGATAATAATGTGACTCTGTTTGTGCGACAGGTTTTAGAAGAGAGGAGACACCACACTCTTCCGTCTCCTAAAAGAAGCTCAAGTGCTCATCGATTGCAAGGAATCTCACCTTCTTCTTCTTCCCCTTTGAGCAAAGGAAGGGGCGGGACTGGAGGAGGAGGGGCTATTTATGAAGATAAAATAATTGACAACGATCAGGTCTGTAGAGTATATTGATGCTAGTAGAAAAAGATTGAGTCGCATTTTTTTCATTATGAGCACTTGAAAAATTGCTTATGCTTTTGAAAAAGTGACTCCAAAAATTTCTATGATTCATGCCTGTAGAAGTTTAAAAAATAGCATGTCTTATTTTTTATAGAAAGTAGAAAGTTTTAAGCAGTGCATCAATTCACCAGTCCCTGTATATCCTCTTCTGTAGAGATCGAAAGCAAGTCGAGCATCTTCGGTCTCTTCTAACGTCCTCAAGTTCTTTAA